TGAAAACAACGAAAAATGGAAAAGATGTCTGACTGTGACCTTTAGCATTTGGTATGGATATTCTATTTTGAACAAGCAGTCAGTTTTCTTCCTCTCTTTTTTTCCCAACCAACAAGGTGAAACCTTGTGAGAGAATTTGGGAGAGGGAATGATATTTCCAAACCTAACTATATAGTTGAGAAAATGTTTAACCATATGGTTGAGAAACGCTTTTTAATCAATAATTATTTTAATTATTTCATAGATTTTCTTGTAATTTGTATGCATCTTAAGACTTGATTTTTAGTCAATAAATTTTAAAAGCACCTTTTAAAATTAATTGTAGTTATAGTTATTATTTATTTTATTAAAGTTAGTAGAATTGTCAAATTTTTATTTCAATTTGATCATTAAAAAAAAATTGATAATTAATATTTATTATTTAATAAATTAAAATTAATTTATAAAATTTTAAATATTGTAATTAATTATTTAAGAAAAAAATAATAAACAAGTAAAATTATAACTAGAATTAATGATTTTAACCAAATCATTGGTAACAATGTGAGTGAATTAAAAAAAAAATAATTGATTTATTTTTTAAAATACTAATCTCAGTTTTTAAATCTAAACTTTGAGGGTTGGTATGAACATCATTTCCCTTGACATCAGGGATGAATCTCAACGATATTAGCTATCTTCAACAGAAATTAATCGCTGCTTTGTTCTTCACCTTTATCTACATCTGGCCGCATTTATTTACGGCTCCAGGCTTTCAGGAATAGTTTGCAACTGTAGTATGATATTATTGTTATATTTTTAATTATTAATATTATATTTTTTAAGTTTAATAAATTATTATATTTTTTAATTTATTAAAAATAAAAAATTTTAAAAATATATGATATACAAATATAATGAATAATTCTATTAAAAAATATGTTATTAATTATATATATATATAGTAACAATAACCACACCCGTTTTGCGGTGCCCAAAATTTCAGGTTATGTTTCATTTAATGTAATGTAAGGTGCTTCTTTTGTTTTCTTTTTTATAGGAAACTTTGAAGGATTGAGGAAATTATTTTCTTTTACAAAGGAGGAATTGAACTCTAGTCACTGTCGAGATGTTGGGATGCACTTGCCCGTACAACTAGCGGTGCATGTGCTTCGTTTCACGTAAGCGCAAGAAATGGTAATTAAAAT